TTGAGATGCCCCGTACTGTGAACCATCCTCTTAACGTTCGCATATACGTACCACACATTTCTCGCCAAATCAAGCTATCAGCCATTTCCAGGCGAAGGTCCAGTGTAGAAGGGGATAGAAAACATGGCTTGCTGGGCTGAGACACGTGGCACAAACAAGGTCGTTTGACCTCGATGTAGTATAGAGTCAATCATGGCCAGCCCAAGACACTTGGTTTGCCCCAGTGAGGCACAACTTTGTCAGGATCTTCAGGCAGCCGCTTGATGTTGAGAAAACGAGCTTCTACAAGGCACGGGAATCACAAAAGACTTATCTTTGAAGGGGGGGGGGGGGGGGGGGGGAGAGCTTGGGGATTGTGGGTTGGTTGTGGACCGTTTTTTTTTTTATTTGTGGGGGGGGGGTGGGGGGTGGGGGGGGGGGGGGGGGGGGGGAGGGGGGGGGGGGGGGGGGGGGGGGGGGAGGTAGTACTTAGGGATTGATCGTTCGTTGTTGAACCATGTTTTCTTTACATTTGGAAGGTCGGTCGAGCGTGCCGTCGTTACGATGTGGAGGGATCGCGGTGAGAGCGAATACCAACAGCTGGTGCATCCGCCACTTTTTCAGTTCCAGACCGGAAGAGAGAGAGAGAGGTGGCCTTCACGAAGACTAGTGTGTGTGTGTGTGTGTGGTAGAAAAGGGGTTCCGTGAATGCTTCTATTGTAGACAGAACTATGCACAGCTTTCGTCTCATTCGGGCCTCCCCCTAATTGTCCTCTCGCCCCGAGGGAGGGGAGCAAGCGGCCAACCAACAACTCAATCCAGCTTTTTATCTCACGTAAATTTTGTCGTTACACGTGGAAAGAGCCGGACCGTTCTCTCCCTCCTCACCCCCCTCCTTCCCACTAAACCCCCGCCCAATCAAGTTTACAAGATAGACACACACACGCACACAAAGAGAAAATAAGGGAGGAGGTTTGGTTCGGTGTGGGGGAGAAGGAGGATTAGGATTTCTTCATGCTAGTATGATGGAAGATTTTGTGTGTGTGTGTTTTTACAAAGTGTCAGTGAGAAGCTTGTTGAGCTTGGCAATCTTGCCAGAGACGCTGAGGTCGATGGTCCGGTCGCCGATCTCGACAATGAGGCCTCCGACGATATCGGGGTTGACCTAGAAAGAAGGGCGTGTTAGTCACGGAGGAAACCAGATGTCTGATGCCGCAGCTTCTAGACCGAGATGGTCTCGGAGGGACAGCTCGGAGACGAGGGTAAGGCGATAAAACGTACGTTGTTGGTGACCTTGAGCTTCTTGCCCTGGCCGACGTAGGAGGACTTGGCGATGGAGCTCTCGAGGCGGTTGAGGGTCTTGTTGTCGAGTTGCTGAGAATGGGTGTCAGTGGCATGTTTTCAATGACGTCCCTGAATGCGTGTGCGAAATTCCCTCGTTGATACGTTGCAACGTTCAAGGTACAACAGCTGTCTAGACATTTCGGGTCCGTCTTTGATTTCTTAACGACGAACCGCACATGCCCCCATATTCAAATCCCAATTGAGAGAAAGGAAACCTACAGTGGCACTGGTGACAGTGAGCTCAACCTCGCCGCGGGCGGCGCTCATGATCTCGGCGAACTTCTGGGTGATGCCGGGGAGGAGGCCGAGGCGGTTGTTCTCGGCGAGGGCGGCAAGGAAGTTCTTGACGGTCTCCTGGGAGCCGGCGCCGGCCTGCTTGGTGAGCTCGGCGACGATGGCGGACTTGTCCTCGGGGGTCAGGGTGGGCGCGGCGAGGACGGTGGTCAGCTTGGGGTCCTTGGCGAAGATGGCGTCGAGGGTGGCCAGGGCCTTGGCCGTGGGGTCCAGGGAAGAGGTCTTGGAGGCGGCGGTGTACTGTGATCGGGCAAAGTTAGCCGTCTGTAAGATCTTTGAGTGGTTTTCCCATCCCGGTCGTGTTTTTTCCTCGATGCCTCAAAGTCCTTCCGGAAAGCTCCCTCATTCCCCATCAATCCTCTCAATCAACAACTTCCTCCCCCAGCCAATTGATCCAATTGAATTGCCCTCCGTCCAGGGGATAACCAGTATAACGAGAGGAACAAGTGCGTACCAGGGCAGTGGCGTAGGTGCCGTCGAGGCCAAAGACGGCGACGGGGGGCTTGACAGCCTCGGTCGCGGCGGCAGCGGCGTAGGTGCGGACGGCCGGGGCGCGGGCAACGAGCCGCGAAGCGGGAGCCGCCGCTCGGAGGGTGCGAACAGCCTGTCTCGAGAACATGTCGGGCGAAAGAGAGGTTCCGGTTGTGGTGGGTGGTGGAGTTCAATTGAAGATGGGAGACGGGCGGGAAGGGATGGCTGGATTCGAACGAGACGCAGTGGTAGCTTGCGTCGGTTTTCGAGGTTGAGGTTTGAACTTCGGCAATTTAGGATGTTGATGCCTTGGGACGTTGCGGCTGCTTGCTGGTTGAGTGGTAAGGCATCAACTTAGGTAAGCGGGTCAAGGGCTCGGGTCGGTGGAAATCGGAGGTGCTCGTTGTTACTGAACAGGCAGGCCCAAGCTCCACTCTTTGAAGCCAATTCTGGTGCAATGGGACGAAGCAAGTCACTTGTAGCCTCACAACTTCAAGATGGAACTCCATGCAGTGTACCCAAAATACTCGAGAATGCACAGCGATTTGATCATTCTCAATTCTCGAATTCTCCAACCAAAGCCGTACTACCCGTTACCCAGTTTGTAGTCTACAGTGATATCACAATAACCGCTTCAATGCCCCGTGTCCACAGGCTCAGCAGTGTCAAAGCCCTACGCGCCAATCATCAGACCTTCCTTATTACCTTGCCAACCGGCGTGTCATCCGTGTTTCCCCAACGCCTAGACAATGCATGCATTCACACTCTCGAAAGGCTCGTCTGGCCTGTCTCAGTCGCTCTCAATCATCTTCTCCGCGAGATCGTTCAAAGGACCATAAAAGTCCTTGCCACTAGCCAATTTGTGCTCGTCGACGAACAGAACGTACTGCTTGAAACTCGTGTTGAGATGGGGCTCCAGTCCAAGCTCTCTGATGACTGCGTAGTGGTGGCAGTAGACGTGGGCATAAACGCGATACATGCGCTTGAAGATCTGCCGCACTGTTGAGGGAAATGATTTGGGGAAGGCAACACCTAGCGGTCCATGTTAAAAACAATATCCCGTTGAGCATGTCAAAGCAATACACACCAATTCTGCTCGGCAGGATTTGCTCGTCATCAATGTGACGCTGTACCCAGGCCATCAAGTGCTCAATGTAGTCCGGCGCGGCCATCTTAGTCGGCCTCTTGTAGTTTTCACTGTCCTGCCACAAGTACTCGAACTCGTCGGTTGCCTTCATCTCGGGGCATGACTGAGGCGAGCAGAATTCGGTAATAGCGCCGTAGAGGAGGTTGATCTGGTTGTAAAAGTCGACCACTGCATTTGGGTCGTGTCAGTCGTGCCGTTTCCTTTGGTCCACCTCTTAATTCCCCCGGATGATACTCACTATTGACTGCCAACCACTCATTCTCGTCTTCGCCTTCAGGCAACTTCACAACCTTACGCAGGCTGCCGCCTCCAAGTGTAGCCTCAGCATACTGTCGCAGTGCAACACCGTTGTTGGCTCCCTTGACAGTACGCGCCCGAAACTGGTTCCTAGCCGCTTTCTGGTTACTGCCGTCCTCGTAGTCATCGTCAGCAGCTGTCAATACTGGTTCTGGGATCTGCGGTTCAGGAGTCTGGATGACAGTCACGTCTCGATTGACGAGACTACCGCCATATTGCCGTGGGGGAGGATCGGGTACAGCTGGCGGTACTGGGGGTGGCAGCGGTGGTATTCCCGCCAACAAACCCGTCCTCACACTAATGTATTGCAAAAGGGACATCATAGATGCGGTGTTGGGTGTAGTACTGACACTGTGAGGCCCGCGACCCTGTCCATGGTAGGCGGCGTCTATTATCGAAATGCGCGCGAAAGGAGGTTCGATGTTTAATGTTATCGTCGAAGGCTGCTCATTCCAGTGGTTAGCGGGGTAATGGAACAATTGAAATCCAGAGGGAAGTCGCAGAGAGATGCCATTGATGTTGTAACATACCAGATAATCATATGACGTCCAAAGGTGTCGACTCGATGCTCGTATCCTGTTTGCGCGACCGGAGGAGGTAAGTCTGGAGGTGAAATGCCAAATCAAGATGTTGTTGGATCCACGGTGCGCTGCGTTGGCTGTTTGGGCGACATGAGGTAAGGTGCCTGTGAAAGGGTCCCCCCTACTGTATCGAAGGGATGAGTGATGTTTATGCGCTTGCCCAATCGGGGCGGTTGCTGGGCTGCAGGAGCCTAGCTGGTGGATACATCAGCCACAGTTAGCCCCTGCCGGATGTGGCTGAAGACCGGGGCCTGTCCCGCTTCCCCCAGTGACGGACAGCCGGATGACATCGGGTGGGTCTCTTAATTCCCGGAGCCAGGACCCAGAATTACGGCATTTTGCATTTGCGGACGGTAAGATCCATTTGCTGTTGGTAGTTTTCGATGCCATTATACTTCGACTTCCAGCCTCAGGGCATCTGGAGGCTTTCAACTGTTAATTCAGCCGAGTCACCCACTTGTGGCATCCCTGTCGTTTTCTCCGCAGACAAACTCAATCCTCCACGAGGACTTCTGCCGGCCTGGGTTTTGAATAGCCTCAATTCCAAAGTGGAGACCATGTATCCCCGCATTCGTAGTTCATCTCTTTCCCCTCATCGTTCCTCAGGGCCTATCCATAGCATGGCATTGGTGCCTTCGGTGCAAACCACACCGAAAGGTGAGTACTAGGCGGACATGAACAATGGACACAAACTTCACACATGACCACAAGAGGGGAGGACCCGGCCTCACGCGTCGTCATGGCCGGACCGCAGATCTCTTGGGGATGAAATAAGAGCAGCGCGGTTTCCCCGCGTAACGTGATGTCCGGGGTAGACACCATACACATCGCATCGATTTGGCTTCCCATATGCGGTCTCGATGTTTCCCAATTGGAAGGTGACAGTCATGCGTGTTGTACATCTTCTACCGCTGCTCTGCAGCCTCATCGAGGCCAAAATCGACAGGCAAAAGGTCGTCCAAGCCTTCAACCCTCGCCGTAATGCCAGTTCCCCTGAGACGCCTCTGCAGGTAGGCAATGGCAACTTCGCCTTTGGTGCCGATATCACGGGTCTCCAGACCTTCAGCCCCTTTGCGACGATGTCGACATGGGGATGGCACAACTTCAGCTTGCCCACAACGCCTGGTCAGACTCAAATCGAAGGTGAGATAGCACGGCCGAGAGGCGTACAACAGTATTGGGTCCAGAAAGCATGTACTGACTCTCTTCACGATAGACTACCACGGCACAGAATGGTGGACACACGGCCGACTTGTACAGTACAACATGGCCAACCCCTCAAACAACGACATCGCAGACTGGCTCCGCGAGAACCCACACCGTATAAATCTTGGCACCATCGGCTTCTCCTTTTCCGACAGCAGCAATACGACAGTCACGGAGGACATGCTTAGCAACAAGGAACAGATCCTCGATATGTGGACGGGCGTCATCCGTTCCAGCTTCACATATAAAAACCACACCGTCAAGGTCGAAACCTGGGCCGACCCGTCCTTGGACAGCGTCGCCGTGTCTGTCGAATCAGCCCTGGTCTCCTCCGGCGCCTTATCCATCTTCTTCGACTTTCCCTACCCGACAAACGACAAGTTTGGCGCCCCGTTCGTAGGCGTCTTCAACCAGACGGACCTGCATAAGACATCCCTATCGACCCCTGGCGGAGGGGAGACCAACAAGGCCACGATCCATCACGATTTGACCACCACGCAGTACGACTTGTCACTTGAGTGGGATGTCGCCGCTGGTGGTAGTGGTGCTATCAAACCACCGACCGACGGGAGCCATCGCTATGTCCTTTCGACCAGTGGGACGGATACGCTACGATTCACGGCCAGTTTTGCGCCGTCTGCACCCGAATCCGTCCCCGAGCTTGACGGCGTCGTGGCGGCTTCACGGGAATGGTGGCCGGCTTATTGGAACAACGGGGCCTTTGTAGACCTAACGGGGACATCGGATGCCAACGCGACCGAGCTTCAGCGCAGGATAATCCAGTCTCAGTATCTCGTGGCGGTGAACTCGGCGTCAGACTATCCTCCACAAGGTGATTTAGCGATCCAAACCCCCTATCAACTTCTCTGTCGCCCGAGAAGAGTGCTGACAGGGACATAGAGTCCGGTCTCGTGAACAATGGATGGTTTGGCAAGTTCCATGTAAGTTCCATCCTCCAAACCCCTTGATGAGGGACTACATCCAGCTCACACACTCGCTCCAAGATGGAAATGATCCTCTGGCACACCCTCCAATTCGCCCGCTGGAACAACCACGCCCTCCTCGCCCGCTCCCTCCCCGGAACCTATACCCACCTACTCCCCACCTCCCTCAACCGCGCCTCAACCCAAGGCTACGCCGGCGCTCGCTGGGGCAAAATGACGGACCCCTCTACTATCGACGCCCCCGGCGAGATCAACACCCTCCTCATCTGGCAGCAGCCGCACCCAATGTACTTTGCCGAGCTCGCCTACCGCCACGCGCCCACCCCGCAGACCCTCGCTGACTGGGACGCCGTCCTCACCGCGACGGCGGACTTTATGGCCTCGTACGCCTTCCTCAACGAGACGACGGGCGTCTACGACCTCGGTCCGCCCATGTACCCGGTCTCGGAGAACACCAACCCCAACGCCACCGTCAACCCGACCTTTGAGCTCGCGTACTGGCGCTTCGGCCTCGACGTCGCCATCGCCTGGAAATCCCGCCAGAACGCTTCCGTCCCGGAAGCCTGGACCACCGTCAGAGATAACCTCGCGCCCCTACCCATCATCGACGGCACGTACCCCGTCTACCAAGACATCCCCAACATGTGGACAGCCAACACGACGACGGTGCAAGACCACCCGGCCATGGCCGGCATCTTTGGCCTCCTCCCGCCGCCGGCCTCGGGCCCGCCGCTGAACCGCCCCGCACTCGAGGAGACCGCTGCCCGGATCTGGGCGCTGTGGGACCTCGACGAATCCTTTGGCTGGGATTTCCCCATGCTCGCGATGAACAGCCTCCGCCTGGGCGACGCGAATCGTGCCGTCAACTATCTTCTCCACCCGACGTTCCAGTTTGACGACGCGGGATACCCCGTCGGCGGGACGAGGGTGCCGACGCCGTACTTCCCGAGCTCGAGTAGTCTGCTGCTAGCCGTGGCCATGATGGCTGGTGGTTGGGATGGTGAGGAGGGACCTCACTTCCCTAGCGAGTGGGATGTCCTAGTTGAGGGCTTCGTTCCTGGGTTATAATGAAGAGCATATACTTGTGAGCCAAGGGGGTAACGTATAAAGATATGGGCTTCCCTTGCAACTTTGTAAATAAACATTGATTTGAATGAGCGCCAGGTGACCGAGTGCTAGAGAGACGAGAAGAGCAAAACAACACACACAACTTCAAGCTTTTCCCAGGCAATTTGTAAAACGCTTTAAAATCTATTCTGCTGGCGTCGGTCGTGATGACCGGACCCTGGATGACGAGCATTTCACAATATTCTGCTCAAGCATCCTACCAGCCTTCCACTGCGGCGTCGGAAGGACAAAGTGGACAGCCGGTGCGTTGTATCACTCGGCAATCACGTAGACCACACCAGGGTCTCGGGGTTTGGCTTCCTTTCCCAGCTCGAATCCAGCCCGAACCCATTCTCATCCGGCGTGCATTCGTGAGTCATATGGAGAATGAATAAAGAGACCATAAGCTGAGTTGCTGTTGTTCTGGTGGTCAGGGTTTTCCCGCGCAGAAATGTCATCGTGAAGGCGGGGGAGAGGGGGATAAGAACATGAACCAGGGAGAATCAGAGCAGGATCTCGCCCATGTTCTCGCCCTCAAAGCCCAGTGTGCTGAGCTTCTTGATCCGCCCCTTGTCGCGCGCCTTCTCCTTCTCCTTCCTCTCGTTTGCCAGGCCCTGAACCAGCTTAAGCTCGCCCGGCTCGTAACCCACGGGTGGGTCGTCGTCCTTGTCGAGGTCGATCTCACCCAGGAGGAGCACGTTCTCGCCGCGAACAAGGAAGATGCCGCGCTTGATATCCGCAAAGAGGCCCCCTTCGCGGGGCGGGTTGGCTTCCGGGTCCGGGTGGGCGTAGACGCGCTCGACGGTGTCTTGAAGAACGAGGTTGGCTGAGAACAGGTAAAGGAAAGAGGTCCATTGTCAGCCTTTTTTCCAAGTACAGCTTCACGAGTTGTCTGGGGTTTTGTCGTTTACATACCGAATTGGTCCCAGCTACGGAGGACGCCAATCAGTTTGCGCCCGTCGCGCAGTGCAACCATGAGCTTCTCTGACGGAAGGTTAGCGTTTGGTGTCGCGAAGAGTACCGCAGCACTCATGCGGCCGAGGCTGCCGTGGTATTTCCCATACTGTCGGTCATGTCCAGCAGCTGCGCCGCAGTGGTGAACATCTGAGGCGGGAGCTGAGGGGTCTGTTGGGGAGGCGGCGCGCGGCCGCCGAGAACGGGCTGGGGCCCCTGGGGAGGGGCATCGGAGATGTTGAGGTTTTCCATTGTTATCTTGTTGTCATTGGTATGTGGTAGTTATTGCATTCGGGCTTGTCCCAGTCCATCGATTTGGGCGCAAAAAGAGGATGCGAGGCGAATGCGATGCAGCAAAGCGAATGGGTGGATTATAATGTGCCGCACAAGGACATCATCAAGAGGAGTTTTCGAACACTCGTCAATAGCTTGCCTCAATCTTCTCGGTACGGGCAATCGTGCTTTGGTCGCTTCTTTTGGCTCAGAAACGCTGGGTGTGATCGATCAAGCCATCATCATCGTGGGGTCCTCCCTAGTACGGCTTGGTGGGTGTGGCGGTGTTCTCAAAGGTAGCTGGAGTGTGGCATCGGAAAGCCTGTTTTTGCGTCATCCGAAGAGGTACAACAACATGGCAGAAGGAGCCGGGTGGAGCTGAACCGTCCCGGCAGAGACCGCAGGCACGGATCGTTTGCTGGTGGGAGGTAGGCGGCTAGGGCACGTGAAAGGCGGGGCATGAGTCAATCCCTGCTGTCAAAATTTCTGATGATCTCAGATGCATGCGGGGCAGTCGCGGTCCCTGACGGTACCTTGGGTGTTTGGGTGGTGCTGTGGAGGGGAAGCAGCCAGTTCAATCCGGATGTCTGCTCTCAACTTCCGATGCCCGCGCTGACAGACAGAAGGTAGACATTTGCGGTTGGTGAGGAAGGCTTTGTGTCGCGCCAGTGACATGGAGGAGACTAGGTTTTGGATCAGGTCTTGGAAAAGGTCTGGTCACACGAACCTCAGGAGGGTTGCAGCTTTCTTACGTCTAGCTTCGTGTTGTCTCTTTCTCACGATACTGCTCTCTGCGGACTATTGCGTTGGTCTATCTATAATCAAAGAATCATTTGATCTCGCAAAGTGTCCCCAACAGTTCCAAAGAGCATTGGCTTTAGTCATGAATGGCCATGACTGCCATGAAAATACTCCCGCTTCGCCATTTCTCAGTTGCAGTTCTGCTCTTTGATGCTTCCCATGCCAGTCCTGGGCCGCCCCTTTTGATTTTCGTCATCTATAGCAAGCAAACCATCAACGCCCATATCATAATGCAATTATTTTTCTTTTCTTGTTTTTCTTTCCTCGGCGGGTTAGTACGAGAGTTGTTTCGTCTGTAAACCGAATGGAGCCGACGAATTACCAGGTGTGCTCTTCGGGGACATCGTCTCCTCTACCGGGAGTCAAGGAGCCTTTGGCACTTTCAGCTTCTTCGTGATCCATAGATCATCGCAGGGGCGCATCTTTGTTTAACAACAGCGGTGACCTTGGTAGCATATTGCACCGTGAAGATGTCTGTTTGCGCTAGGAACCAGGAGCAAACAAAAGCCAAGGAACCTCGGGCGTCTATGCGCCGGGTGCGTATCATGACTTCTTCATAGTGCATCTTGTCAATGCCTCAAGGAGCTCAGGTCGAGCTGCCAACGCATCTTTGGCCTGGGCGTATGTCATCCACTGGCGTTCCCTCTTGTGGCTCTCGGGCCAAGCTTCCTCTTGCGCTGTGACGGTAGCCTCGTAGAACCTATACAGGGCCTTGGCTGAGTCTTTACTAGAGTGCTTCGGTGCTCTCGTCTCGACGATGTCTCCCAAATCATAGTCGATCTCGATAGTGATGCCTGCTTCTTCCCAGGCTTCACGCGCCGCCGCTTCGGTGCACTCCTCGTCTGTCTCCCAGCCGCCCTTGGGCAGTACCCAGCCCTTCCGACGGGTGGACTGGATGAGGAGGACGTAGCGCTTGTCCTTGGTTAGGGGAACAACACCAGCAACCAAGCGCTCGCCTTTGGAGTTGTAACCTGCGATGACCAAGGTGTTAGTGGGTCCCGCGCAGCGAGCAGGCGCACCAGGGTCGGGGGAAGAGGCTCAGAATGGGAGGGGTATTGCCTCTGCCCCGTTTGCGCACTTACGCTGCTTGCTTCTTCCCGTGCGTGACTCCATCGTCCGCTCCTTATGAGAGGAAGCCATCTCGGAAAGCTCGTCTGTCGCGGGGTTTATTTTGGAATGTGTTTGGGGTCGGTTATGGTGGGGGGCTGCTCTGATGTGCGGTGGCGGTAGGTCCGGTAACTTTTTTCCCTCGCAAGATGATTTGCAAGTCCAAATCTGTCCGGGCGGCGGTGGGTGTCGGGGTTCGATGCGGGTTCAAAGGTTTTTCAACGACATGATCGCGCTTTTTTTTAAGTGATATGAGCTGTTGGAAATGGGAAAGGGTGCGATGCCGAATCACACGACAGCGAGAGAACCCTGAGTGAAGCGCAGGTTGTTGGCGCGTGTTGTAGCTTCGAACGAGACTCGGATTTGAAAACCAGTAGCAGCTACTAGATTTCTCTGCGAGATCCGACCAGGGCAGACCCCAAGGCGGTGCGATCGTAGGTGCGGCGGCGGCAGCAGCAGCAGCAGAGAGCGAAAGAGTGAAAGAGAGACCAGCTGAGGGAACGCTCGGATGGATTCACCACCACGATGGAGAAACGAGTGGGACCAGCCTGTGTCGGGCCAGCAGTCGCACGCTTCCGGCCAAAGGGCAAACCTTGACCGTACCGAGTCACTCAATGGCTTACAGAGAGCGAAGTCGGGGCAAGGCAGACAAGTGTCGTGTCGGCCGGGCGATGGAGATAAGGACAGAAGAGCAAGAAAACTCGTCGTCTGGCTGGTTCGGGGTTTGAGAGTTCTGGGTGACAAAGGTTGCTTGTTGTAGACCAGAGAGGAGGCGGGAAGGAGGATGAAGCGGAAAGACGCGGCGTCAGATATGACTGAGGCACGCACCACTGAGTGACGAAAGACCTTAGTGAGAAGGTAAAAGATGGGGATTGTATATCTTGGCTCAAGGAGCTGACGGCAACGGAACGGACACAAGGAGCAAAGGTGTTCAACGTGGAAAGTGAAAGAAGTCAAGGCCGGGATGGGCCAGGATGGACGTAGGTTGCTCAGGCGGCGGTAGTAATAGTAGCTGGGAGCTCTGGTGCAGGCCAGAGAGTGGCATGTCTCGTGCCATAAGAGCAAAAATTGGGCGGGAACGGGCTCCAGGGGAAATTAAAGTTGATTTATATACTTAACCCTTTGAAGGCAGAGCTTGTGCCTCCAACAGCCCACGGTACCGAGCAGGGGGGAGGAGGGACTACTCAGGTGGTCTAGCTAGCTGGCAGGCTACGCTGGTTAGAGAGAGAGAGAGAGAAAAAAAAAAGTGAAGGTAGATGGGAGGTCAGGGTATGATGCCAGGCTGGGGACGGAAAGCTAAGGTAGGTTGGTGTGTGTGTGTGAGAGAAAGAGAGAGACCGAGAGAAGGGAAAGAAAATGTGGTGTGGCTGCGGCGTGTGGGAAGGATGAGCAGAGCAGCCAATGTGGGCAACAGTAGGTATCCCGTAGCGGATGTATGAGTTGAGCGTAGAAAAGCCGACCAAGAGGCAGAGAAATGAAGATACATAAGAAAAATCAACAGGGTGTGGCAAGGACAGGCAAGAGATGGGGGTGAGAAGTGACATGCATGGGGAAAGCTCCCTGTTGGTCTGTCTCTCTGCCCTGGGTTTCTGGGATACAGTCAGGGCAGGTCCGCAGGCTGAGGCAGGCACAGGGAAGCTCAACCTGACATTTTGGGAAGGGACGGGAAAGGCCAGGAAAGCGCGGGCTGGTAAGGTATCTGTACGGCACCCTGTACCTTCCTCCCTCTTTCTCTCTGTGTTTCCTCCAGTCTCGCCATCCACGCCCAGAAGTCCAGACCCAGTGTTCCAGCGCTTCCTTCCCATCGGCCGCTTTCAGTCAGTCAGTCAGTCCGAAACTCGTTACGCCTTGCCTGGCTGTCCGGTATTCCCACGAGTATTTTCTCTGCATCTTCAGACTTCTCGGGCCCACGGGGTACGCAGTACATATCTACATACCATACCCACTATTCGTCGACATCGCCGCCGGCGCACTCGAAACCTCGAGCACAAGCATTGGATGTCAAATGTGCCGCATGCCCTGCAGGCTCGGCATCCACTGCACTTGCGGCAGGCCATGTTCCCAAGAATGCGTTAGAGGGGTGGGGTACTGCAGAGGACCTGATGGGGCTGGAGAGACTGGTCCCATCAAGTCCAGCTCTGGCGAACTAGACGTTCCCTCTAATCCTCATATTTGCGGCTTGCCAACCGTATCGACGTTGCACTGCTGTACTTCCCACACCGTTTGCTACCACAACCTTCTCAGTTTCTTGCCAATGTGCAGAGTACCTTTCGGGCCTGCAACTCAAATCATCCGCATCTGCCTTTACAAATTCCACCCATATCATCATGTCTGAAAAATGTTAATTGATACCACGCCTTATCTGAAGGACTTGCGTGTGCGCTTCCAGGTTAGGTTGGAATGTCTTTCTTTGAAAGTTTGCTCGGCGTTTCCAAGAGTTGCGACTTGCAAAGAGCACCCGAAGGTTACCTAGCCTTCGGACTCAACTAATCAACTAATAATCGGCCATGCTACCAATGTTTAGACCGTCTCCAATGTCGCTTGGCACGAACACAACGGTTCGTATCCGTTCCATCTCCCCAGGCTCGAATCAGTCAGCAGAGCCGGGAACCATTCGCATGACCCAGAAGTACACTGTACACAACACTAGTTCTCCGTTGCCCCCATAATCTATTGTTGTCTTGGCTCCCAGGCCAAGTGATGCGTCGAACAAGCATCTCGCTGGCACAGGTGTCCAATGCAAGCCACGCCGTGTCGCTCCGACTAAAATGAGCAAGTGCAAGAACGTTGTTTAGGCCAGCAGCTGCCTGTTACCTCGTGGCTAAAGAATCAGTTGGCGCTGCCCAGGAACTTGCAAGACCTATTCGATTCGCCATGTGCTTTGCGTCCGCTATCTGTAAGAATAGGTTCCTCTGACTCGACAAGACCAGTGGGATTCTTTGCTGAACAAAGTCTCCCTAGACAACAGAGGGGCGCAATGAACCGAACAACGGTTCTAGCCAACTCAAGCGCCTCCTTTGACGTGCGGACAGCTGGCGGGTAGGGACCGGTTGACTTGCTTTTGGGCTGAACAAGGGGCCCCCGCCCCCGACTGAGGATTGCGTAGAATTAATTCTCTTGGGGGCACTACCTGGAAGTGAATGCCAAATCTTCAACGGGGACCGACTCATCCGCAAGCTGCCTGGCTGCAGGATGGCAGCTTCATGCTGGCGATATTGGCATGCTCACTTTGGATTCTCAGTAGCCAGGCACTGTCTTCAGGCGTCGGCTAGATTGAGAACGAGCCTGCGCGGTGGCCTTCAGCGAAGAGTTTTAAGCTCATACGCCAAGATCAAACAGCTACCTGGCTGCTGCCAAAGCCTTCCATCACCGACACCATCACACTAGAATCGGAGCCTTTTTATGGCAGTTCAATTGGAGTCCAGGTGTTGTCGTACATTCTGGGCACTAATTGGTTTCGAGAGTGAACTCATTGCGGCAGGTTCTGATTGGCTATTGAGAGCTCTGATGTGTCCTGCCAGTGTCATCCACAACGACGTTTATGCTCAAGAACACGTCTGCGGCCTATTGAGAATTCCGGTGTAAATTGTCTTAGTATGGACAGGTAACAATGACCACAGAGCATCAGGACTAGAATTTAACGATCATCGATACAACGCGCAGACTGCGTGGTTACTGCTCCAGTGTCTGGCTGAAATGAAACCAAAATCCTTCGTCTTTGACTCTCTAGCGAGGTAGCTCAACATCGAGCTCAGGGAAGGGGTGCAGCCACACTCACACCTATCGCAGCTGGTTGTATTTCAGACGTTTGACGGGATACATCCCACACTACATCGGAACTAGAAGCACGCTGGCCACTCATGTTACGGGTAATTCACCAACCAAAAGACACTTTCGCATACAGGATAGGACTTTGACGTTGGGTTGCAACTTCCGCTCAAGGCCACCGTGTGCGAGTTGAACAGCCAAGGAAGGACCTTCTTGATGAGTTAGTCCGATGCTGACCATCGCGATCCGTAAGCCTTGAGATCCTTGACGAAGGGCTAAGTATCCGAACCTACCTATCTCCAGGTTTAGAATCCTCAGCCGGTAGGTTGTTCGACCTGGCGGGTGCGTGCACTGGAACACAGCTTCTGTTATTCCATCGAGTTCCAGGAGGGAGGTCCAGATACAACCCTAAGCGATGCGACGAAATACAACACCCCCATAGCTCACTTGCATTCACCGCCGATCGTATCTCGATGCCTCATTGCTACCTGCTTACCTTGGGGCCCGTTTCGGTTGGTCTTGCCTCCTGATGCTACAGCTGGCACGCTCACTCGACTGCTACTATCAGTAGCATTTTAAGCTTGAAATTCCGAAGCCGCACCGTTTACTCAAGCTATCGCATATCAACTTCTCATCCAGGCGCCTTTCTCGCGTCATTCTCCGATCCGACAGAGCCGCTGCCACCTCATCCTGGCACGTCGTGTGCGACATCCCTTCGGGCCACCGAGATTGCAGACCCAATGGTGTAGTCATCTGCCGCGAGGTAGGGTAACGCTGCACATTTGCATTACCCATGCTCCAGACGCTGAGCTCCTGCATACCCGTGCCTCCATCGTCGTCGGGCGACTAACCAGCAGATACACACAGCAAACAAAGAGCGGCGTATAGCTAAGCCGAGCCGGCACATTGAGGGTCAACGTCTACCGACTCAACTTACACGGGCTTCGACGAGCTGGTTCGAGTCAAAGAGCAGAGTGTCTGCGTTGGCAGACAAGGTACAAACAGACTGGGACCAGCAGGCACAATTAAATGGGGCGGTAAGGTGAGGCAAGCGCGCGAGCAGGCAGACAAACGCAACGTCGTCATACCTCTTTTTGGGGGGGTTATTCGAGGTCACATACTGGATATTGACTGGCCACTACAGACTACAAATAAATACCGGTCCATGTCACAGGCAGACTCCTCATATTTCCAAGGGGAGAGCCTCACTCGCGTCGCATTCACATCATATTCCTCCGTCTTCCAGGTTGTCAGGCCGCACTGCGCCAAGCGCTAGACAACAGACGTCACGGCCAACCAGCTGGCAATTCACAGCGCTGCAACTAAAAAAGAAAAAGGCCGTTAGGTCGTGTCTCGCGACTAACCCCTCACTCCATCTCAAGCTTCGCGACCCCACGCTTTCCCACTCCAATGCCGCAAGGGGTGTGAGAGTTCCACCAACAAGTACACTTCCCGACTGGGCTTCACTGCATCAAGTCGAATCCCTAGCCGAACAGCGCCATCCGTCAAAGAGGGGATAGAAAGGCAGCGGCTCAACCCTCGACTCTCATCTTGTCATCACAGTCACAAGATACATAGCGTACCCCTCCTCTTCGCCGGGCGTTTAGACGTCAACCCGCGTGCCCGCCTCGGAAGCGATCACTTCAAATATCAGCCAACGTTTCGTGCTTGCCTAGCACTAGTCGAGCTGGCTGCTTCCCTGGCGCGTTAGTAGAGCGAGCAAGTCGCAGCAGACCAGACAGTCATGGACGACACAAGCATGCAGACCCCTGGCGATGCCTTGTCCTATATAACTCCAATCGGTGAGTCCTTCGTCCTATTCTCTCCTCCAACCATCTGCCCCCGTGCAACTTCTCTCAGCCGCCGTTGGCTCGTGGCATTTTATGGGGTAGCTCCCTTGGTCGGTCTGGAACTGGCTTAGTTGCCTTTTTTTCCTCGTGCATCTGCGCCGATCGATGTCACTGCATCCCATTCTCAGTCACACAAACCTGACTTCAATCCTTCGAAGTCGGATCAAGTTGGGGGTCTGTCTGCACGGCATGGATGCGTAATCCCACGCTTGCCAGCCCATTTGCCTCCAAAATTCGGGATGTGTCCTCACCATACGTACATTGAACCCGAAGGCACGCGATTGGCTTTTTCATTTGCTCCCATAGCCCCCTGTTCTCTGCTCTCATTCGACCTTAAGGCTCAACGCTACGAGACTTGTTCCCATTCAATAATGTTCACATCTCAGAAACATCTTCAATTTTACGCGGTTTGGGAATTGCGCTTAGCTAGCTACTACTGAACAAGACTTCACACCATATGGTTTGCTAATACAAGCTTAGGATATTCTAATTCGTCGCGCTGTGGTTATTGTGGCCGCCAAGGCAAGAGTCAGTCAAAACGTGAATGCCATCCCTCGTTTTCTCCCATGTCGTCTCGTGTAAGCCGCACAAGGGCTTGCGGAATAGTGACTTGCGGTCGGCCACTGTGGGATTCCCTGATCTGATCCGTCACTAACTTGAGCCACTACTCGACAGGCTTCTCTTACTATGCCAAGTCCACATCCCTTACTCCTGAATACTACCAAACCTTGCTGGATCACTACTGGAGGCGCTCCGGGACGACCCTCTACCGACCGGACCAACTCCACGCGTGCTGCGTTCACTACACCCTCCGCCTGGACTCCACCCAGTTCAAACCCACCCGAGATCAGCGACAAACCATCAACCGGTTCAACAAATACCTGACGGGCGATGCCTACATCAAGGAGGCAGCTCGCCTCCACCCTCGGTCACGCGAGCAGGCAAAGAAACGGGATTCTGAGTTCGACTTGATCGAGAGGGTCCATGAGGCGGAATATGATTCCCTGCAGCTGCCTCCAGAGCCCGCCCATGTCTTTACCGTTACCCTGGAAGATGATGTCTTCACCGAGGAAAAGTACTTGGTGTATGAGAACTACCAGCGAGTCGTCCATAGGGAGGAGCCGGCCGACATCTCTCGCCGCGGCTTCCAACGCTTTCTGTGCGAGTCTCCGGTCCAGCGCAAGACAATCACGACGGCCGACGGCAAAGAGCAAAAGCTCGGTTCGTTCCATCAGTGCTACCGTTTGGATGGCGAATTGGTAGCCATTGGTGTACTGGATCTGCTCCCTCACTGCGTTTCCGCCGTATACTTTCTCTACCACGAGTCCATCCACAAGTTTGCACCAGGGAAATTGGGCGCGATCCGTGAGATTGCTCTGGCACAGGAAGATGGCTATCGTTACTGGTATCCTGGCTTCTACATTCACAGCTGTCCCAAGATGCGATACAAGATGGACTACACGCCCCAGTACATCCTGGATCCCGAGACGCTGGCTTGGGATCTCATGGACAAGAGAGTCACGGACCTTTTGGACAACAAGCCGTACCTAAGCTTATCAAAGGAGAGAGCCGACGCACCAGCTGCCGAAGGAGCCAAGGATACTTCAGATCAGCCTGCGGCTGGCCAAGAAGAGTTTACAGAAGATCCCAAGAATGAGGAGAATGACCACGATGACGACACGTTCTTGTTCAACACTGGTATGCCGGGCATCCTGTCGCTTGACGAGATCCGCTCACTTGAGGAGATGGACCATATCAAGCTGCGGATAGATGGCTCTGGACTTCTTTTCGAGACTGGCGATCTTGTCGCGTGGGAGCGTCAGGACGTCGGGGTGAGCGGATGTCTCAAGGCTGGCATTGCGGAGCTGGTGGCGGCCTTGGGACCCGAGTTGTTGGATGATATGGTGGTGGACTTTTGGAATCCTAATCTGTGAAGGGTTGGCTTGGCTTGACTCTGCTGGTGGCCGGCTGTGTACATATCTATCTGTATTGCAGCTTGCGTCATGGTTAGAGCGAATGCAGCAAGGGTAAGCGTTACAAGCCGGACTTTTATGTCGTGTTTAATGCAAGTGAGATCCATTGGTCTCACTCGCTACTATGGGATGGCAACTGTACTTGTCTAAATCATCTTGAGTAAGGTATTTTCACGCCGGTCATTGCGTTCGAGATCAGCATTAGTCCAGCCGATGATGCTAAAGTGGAAACGGCTCATATTAGCTGCGCTCGTCGTAACTTAAGGTACCTTACTTACTAAGGTAAGGTAGATTTTGGGAACCTCAAACGTTCTTATCTTATCAGGGTCCGCAATCGCCCCCACCTGATACATGGGGGAAAGAGCAATGACGAACTGCCCGCCCACCCTCGGAGCACTCGCAGCGGTGCCCCCAGTCCACCCTCCGTCGCAGCGTTGCGCCTCGAAACCGAGCCGGTTCAGGCACGAGACCCAGACCGACTCTCCATTCCTCCTCCGTCACCGATCACCGGTATCGCGTGTCCGACTGACCGACCGAACTACCTCCGGAACCTCGTGCACCAAACACCTACCTCACGGGCACTTCGTTCGCCTTTCTCCTTTGCCATACACACGCACCCTCTTCGCAACGAAGTCGGCCACCCTTCTGACTTCCTCCCCAACTCAACACTGTAACCGAATCGCATAGTCGCATCGTATCATCCTCACCTCCAAAATGGGCGGCAACACAAGTAAAGTCACCGCCCAGGACAAGTACGTCCCCGAGCTCTTGATCCTACCGAAATATCGCGCGCGCGCATGCGACGCCGACGCTGCGTAATCCGTAATGCGCCGTCGCACGTCCATCCCACCACGCACATTCACAATGTAAACTACTCTCGCTAACCTTTGAACCTCTCCCTCCTTCAGGGCAATTCTAGACATGAAGCTCCAACGCGACAAGCTCCACCAGTACCAGCGCCGCATCACGGTCCTGACAGATAAAGAGACGGCCATCGCGAAGCAGATGCTCGCAAAGGGCGACAAGCCGCGCGCCTTACTCGCCCTCCGCCGGAAGAAGTACCAAGAGTCCCTCCTGCAAAAGACGGATGCCCAGCTCGAGCAGCTCGAGAAGCTCACGTCGTCGGTCGAGTTCGCCATGATCCAGAAGGACGTCGTGTTCGGTCTACAGCAGGGTACCAAGGTGCTCAAGGAGATCCACTCCGAGATGGGCGGCATCGAGCACGTGGAGAAGCTCATGGGCGAGACGGCTGATGCCATCGCTTATCAAAGGGTATGGAATCCGCCTTGATGCTAGGTTCATGTGTGTTTTGGAACCTGGGCTAACATACGGTCTTTCTTACCCACTCTACAGGAAGTCAGCGAGATGCTCGGCGGCCGTATATCAGTCCAAGACGAAGAAGAAGTCGAAGACGAGCTCGCCGCCCTCGAGGCCAGCGTCGCCGCCGAAGACGCCATCCGCAACCCGCCCAAGCTCCCCAAGGTGCCCGACACGAAACTGCCGACCCCGCAGGGCGAAGAGGAAGAGGAGCCCGAGGCGCAGCAGCCGACCCGGACGAGGCAGGCCATGTTGGCATCATGATGGGGTGTCTATTAGGCTGCGTCGTTTATCCTTGGCAACATCTTTCTTACCTTTACGTTTTCGATGATACAAGGGGCTTCAAGCATGCGAGGGGAACTTTCTTGGTTGCATTTTCATGGAGTTGAGATTTGGAAGCATGTCTTTTCTTTTCTTCACATTTATCTATAGTACCTTAGCTATTTCCATCTCTGCGCGCGCGGCAATATGACACTAGACTAGGGGCGGCGGGAAAGGTTCGACATGCTTGCTTTTTGTTGTTGGATTCATCAACTACACCGTTGCATTCTTACGGAATGTGCCGTTACTTGGCTGCTAGAATCAACTCTCAGAGGGGTTCAATATATATGAGCTGATGATCACTTTAACATGACTTCAATCTTGGCTTTACAGGATGGTGATGGCTTGCTCGGCGATTGGTGTTCATTGACGATGGGTACACTCGGCTCTGGAAGGAGATTTTCGTGACCTTTGAGTTATCAAAGTCGCTGCGTACTTGTGTCTATGTCATGTCCCGAGATACGCACTCAACGATGCAAGGTCTTCAAGATACGCTTCTAGCTGGAACCCGGATGAACTGTAGTATAAAGTCGTCATACGTTACCCAAGTCTGTTTTGTTTTTCCAGCGTGATGCCTTCCTGTCACACCTGAAGACACATGCGCGGGTCTCCAGGGGCAAGGGGA